AGAGAGAGAGAGAGAGAGAGAGAGAGAGAGAGAGAGAGACAAAGACAGAGACAAGGGCGGCGCACAATACGGAACGGGTGGGGTGATCGAAAGCAAGGGCAACATGATGGATCTCTTCTTACGGAAACGCGTGGATATCTGCGGCATGTTTGCTTTTGATAATATACGCCACAGAGACTTGATGAGACGTGTCATGTCGGACCGCATCAGACCGTGCGAGCGACAGACATCCCCAGCGCGCGACTGAGAAACACGGCGCGACTGAGCGATTCATGGGCAAGGCAGTCGGCAGTTGCCTTTCTTGCACTTCAGTGCGTTGGTAGGAATTTGATTCCTTTCCTGTGCCCATTTTCTAGCAAGACGAGGAAGAGTTTGAGTACGGATGAGGGGAAAACGACAGTCAGTGAAGAACTGCTGTTGTAGGGGTAGTAAAGAATCAACCGGTATGTGTACCTGCGGTCTACAGCAGTAGTCGGGAGGGAGACTATTACTTTATCCGTGTGCGTGTTTGCTTCGCTGGCTGCCATTTTGATACTGGTTCTTATCGGGACGCGTCTGTCAATAGTTTAGCCGCTTCCATGGGCGTAGGGCTTGAGAGAGGGCTCCATGGCTCCATCATCATCTGTCCTCTTTCCTCACAGCCTGCAACTTGATCTTCCTTCCAAGAGATTTATTCTATCGAACTATCCTCGTTCCTGATGGCGACGGCAAGTAGTAGTAGAGCCAGAAGTAGCAAGTTGAAAACCCGTGGGGGTAAAACCGAACGAGATACTGCAGTTCTGCCTGTGGTTGGTGCTATGTATCGTTTTTCCCGCGGGATAATTCTTCACATAGCAGAGTGGGATTACCTGGGATAGACAATTATATATACAACACCCCCTCAACAACAACAATCTGTGTGGGACTGTGCTCTGGGAAGATACTTTTACGTAGACCCTCACAAAGTTGCTTCATCTCCGCCCACACCCTCCCCGTATATAGGTGTCCCGGACGCGAGTGCCGGGGAATTCGCGCACCAGCAGAACAAGTCTGGCGCCAAGTCGGACTGTGGACGTAACCCTCCGGTGCACTATGCTGTGCGCGCCAACACCAATGCCGCCATACTGGCACTCGCCAACGGCCTGCAGTACGAAGTGACGAAGTACAACCACAGCACCAGGACGCACGAGGTTGTCTGGGTCAGCCCCGGTCCTGGTTGCGTTCGGATGTTGCAATGGCTCGGCCCTAGCCTTGGCCACGATCGCGTGCCTACAGACATCAAAGCAGAGAGGCAGCCAGTCGCCAGGCGAGCTAAAGGGATAGTTCCCGGGCTCGGCAGTATGGGCGGCGACTCTGTTCGAAGACGGGGACGTGTGCAACGTCGCTGGGACCTGGACGGATCGTGTGGCGTCAGGGCATCTCCGACCCGACGAAGAAACTTTGTCTAGGGCTTACGAGACGTACTACGGATGCGGGAGGGGAGAGACGTGCGAGAACTTACGATGTCCCTCGTGCTGGGACGATGGTCATGCCTCAGCGCTCGAAGTCAACCAGATCGCGTGTTCCACATATATACGCGTCCCCCTCGTGGCGAGTTGCGGACAGGGTCGCTTGAAGGGCGGCGATGCCAAAACCGCGGACAGACCAGGGCCGCGCGATGACTGGGCCTTGGGGGACGGAGGTGGTGCTAATGTTGAGGTATACAACGGGCCACCGCCACCACCTGACGTTGGAACTGTTGCAACGGACTAATTGACATTGGTCAAGATCCTCTACATCTTCCTGCACGAGGGGAACCCTCGTTCCCTGAGCGGGGAGCCGCCTCCGCTTACCTGGTGGGTGCTCGGGTACGAGTATGTGGGGGTTGGTGAAGGAAACGAACGTGTGCCCGATTCCATCACGGGGCACCCAACCTTGCTCCTA